AATGATTGTTAAAATTTGTAGCTCATTTTTTAATGTGCACGTTGCAGTCTTTGCTCTAAAAATAAAATCCTTGACCTGTTAATTGTAAATGCTTCAACCTATCACCCAGGTTTAACTGTGAGAAATCACAGGTCTTACCAATGAGCTGCGGATCAGCACTTCTAAATATATTCCTAAATATGAAGGTTTCTTCAAATAATTAAAATAAATTTACATTTGCACATAAAATAGAGCCAGTAATCAACAATAAACTGTAAAATCACAGTTACATTGTATAGCTGAATGTTATTTTCACTCTAGAAGGTAATATCGCCAAAAAAATGTATCTAAAAAAGTAATGTACCTACACTTACACTTAGCAAAAATACTTTGATCTCAATACATGAAGTCTCAGTAATAGTTTCTATTATTCCCCTGTCCTCAAGCTGGAACGTGGAACTTCAACATTTTTTTGCACAGAGCTGTCAGAAAACAGAAAGGGAAGAACTGAAAGATGATCCCATCAATGTTCTGCTGCTTCTTCATGCAGACTGCCTGCGTCCAGGGCTGTACATCCACATGCATGTGAGCACTTATCCAAGCACTGGCAAATACCCATGAACAGCCACATACAGCAATTGATTTCTACAGTCAGCTGATTACAGTACCCGTGGTTCCTGGGCAGAAAAACATATTGCACAACATATGACCCCAGGTGCCTTTGTGCATAAGGCCCAGCAAAAGAAGTGGTGGACGCTTAAATAAAATAACTCTTTCACAGTAGGTTTCGGAGAATCAAAACTTGATTTCCTGGCTTTAGCACAATGCTTGGCTCCAAGTAAGTGAGACAGTGGAAAAAAAAGGCACAGAAAGAATCCATAATGTAGTTAATTTTACAAAATGACTATTGTTAAATAAATTATAAGCTGCACTCACAAAAAAAGTGTTACCATAAAATAGTAATGAGTAGTGAAACATACTGTAAAACAAGTCCCTCCAACCATAAGTATCCTACCCTGGCCACAGGCAGAGAAAGCAGGTCACAATCATTGGGCAATGGAAACTGGCATCAGCATGGGAATAGGAAACTGACAACATGCTGATTACACAAGTTCCACTGATACAGAATATGTCACATGATCTAGTGAATGTTTTTCATAAATTGCACTTCCCCCTCCTCAGCTTACTCTGGTGGGCTACGTCTGCACTTAAAAAACATTAGCAACAATCAAAAATCAATAGTCTCAAAAAAAAAATAATTGAGAAGCATTTTTACAATATATTAGTAGTATTCTATATCTAACAATAAAATGATACATTATACAAAAATATAGTCTATACAAGTAACAATTACAAAGTATTTGCAAGAACATAAAGAGTGCATTATACATTATGCAAAGTTTTGAGTATAAGTACTAAATGAATAAAGTGTAAAAGCAGGACAGTCATCACAGTATGTACCATAGCAAAATAAAGAAGTGTAGTCATAATGTCTTGCCTTCTCTGTATGTATGTTCTACATATAGTACTGTTTCACCTCTCATAGTTTTAGTGGCTGGAACCAAGTCATGGCTTTTTGTTCACCTTGCCTTGTCTGGAAGTAACTGGAGTAGGGATCAGGGTGTGGAAAGCAGCAAACCCATCTCCACCATTAGGAGCTCTGTTGAAGATCATCTATTCCTTAACCAATATATTGAGTAGGTGAAAGGACGGTTCCTTAGTGAGTAACACTAACTGTCACATGGTGGAGGAAAAGTGATAGTTTGGTGCTCTTTTGCTGGATCCAGAGTCGGCAACTTGCGCAGAGCAAGTTGCACCCTGAACCAAAACTACTACAACAGAATTTTGCAGCTCCATGCAATAGCCTCTGGAATTCGCCTAGTTAGTCAGGGGTTTGTCCTACAGCAAGATAATGACTTAAAACATACCTCCAGGCTGTTTCAGAACTACCTTAGAAGAAAACAACAAGATGGTAGGCTTCAAATTGTGGAATGGCCAGCATAGTCTCCAGACTTAAACCCCATTGAGCTGGTTTGACATGATCTGGACAGAAGGGTGTAAGCAGAGCAACCTACAAGTGCAACGCATTTGTGGGAAATCTGCACCAGAGTTGGGAAGAACTTTCCAAACAATATTTGATTTCCTTTATGTGTTTGGCCTCTATATTTGCAAAAGGTGGCTACTTTGATGAGTCAAAGATTGAAATTACATTTTGTTAAAGAAAGTAATTTCATGGTTTCTTTTTCATGTCAAATTGTTTATTTGTTCTGTGTTTTTTTTTTTCAAAGTACATTGAAACATTGTAAATTACAATAAAAACTGGAAAAATTAGGATGTTCTAAAGCTTTTGACCAGTAATATAAAAACAAGAGTTTTTTTCACACTCCCAGGGATGTCATCCCTTCAAATCAATGTATAAAGAACAAATAAATATGAATTGGGATTTTACAAACACCCAGACTGTTAATTCATAAAAATACAATTTTAATAATCACATATTACAACACAGGGCTCAAAATGTCCACTCTCATTTGGCAAGTGAAAATAACATGGGAGCGAGTGTATCCCAGGCACCGCATTGGAGAGGGGCGAGAGCACTTCTGGCAGCACCAACCTGCCCTGAGTGCTGTGTGAGGGAGGTGGCTAGCATCATGGAGCATCCTACCACCTGGAATTAGGATTCAGCTATGTCTTCTCCATCACTGAGCAGTCTGTACATTGCATACCAACTTCAGCAAGTGTTATGTGTACCTGAATGACAGCTGCCACCTAGCTGCGACCCACCTACACTCTTCTGCTGTTCACGTATTCCGAGTTGTTAGGCAGCAATGTAACTACCTATGGACCAGTGTCATCACATTGTATCACCAGTCTCCCCTCTTCAGCACCTTTTGCAACCCCCCCAAAAAAGCAGCCCCTATGGGCATGCCCTGGGAGGTGAAGGAGACTGCACTGCTGAACTGGCTGGCTGTGTGGATATGTGAAGTAGCAGCGGTGGCCATCATCTCTAAGTAAGTGAATCAAGAAAGCCTAAAGTCTTCTCAATAAATGACTAAACATTAACAAACAATATCCTGGGGCACAGTAAGCATGGTATAATTTACTTGGGGGTCAACCACTCGCTGGGTATGCTGGGTTTGTGGGATTTGGGTGACTGTTTTCTTTAGTGAGTAAATCAGATAAGCCAAAAGTAATAACAATAGTGGACTAAAAAGTAAAGAAATATATACTGTGGCACAATAAGAATTATATAATTTATTTTGAGTCACTCATTGCTGGTAAGGGGATTGTAGAAACAGTGGTATTGTGGAGTCCAGGATGAGGCTTGTGGCACTGGCAGTGTCCATCTTCTTCAAGAAGTAAAAAATAACCCTTATCTAACCAAGATAGTGAAAAAAGATTTTTTTTTTTCTGGCAACTGGTTCAATAATTTAGGGGTTACTCCAGCATATCCAGCATTTACATTTTTTAGTGAGGCCAATGATAAACATTATGTGCTATGCAATAAATACAGCATACTATACTAGTTGCATAATGAGGTAGCTGCAGTGTGGCGCTTCATTATTACTGTACTGTAGTACATTATTTCACCTTCATTGCCCCTTCATATTATTCCACCTTTTGCAAGGTTTTTCAGCTTCACGCCTAACATATCTGAAACTTTAGTGGGAATAATAATTTTTTTGAAACTTTAGAATCTGCAACAGAATAATTCCTGATTCTGTTACCAAACCAACAAATATCACACCAGCCACGATGTAACACAGTGTTGCCCTTCAGCCAGCCCAGTAGCACAGCTACTGATTTCTGATTCAGTCAACAAGTTAGGTATAATGCAGTGATGTCCTATAGCAGCACTGTCTCATTTTTGATGCCATCCCTATTTCAACATACTGTATACCAACAAAATGTAACACAGTGAGTTCCTACAGCAGCAGCGGCTCATTTTTGATGCTGGTCAGAGACATAACACAGTGATGTCCTCTAGAAGTTGACAATATGTGTTAGAGCTGGGCTCAAAAATTTCACTCACCTGCTCATATTTGGCGAGTAGAAATAATGTGGGAGCGAGTGTGTCCCAGGCACCACATTAAAGGTGGTGGCGGGTGCTGCTGGAAGCACCAACTTGCCCCAAGCACTGTGTTGAGGGGGGCTCACTGCTGTTGCCCCTCCTCAGTGACTGAAGTTATCGCGTTTGCACTGCTGTCACAAGAAGCAGCTGCTGACACTTGCTGGAGGGAGGATGAGGCTTTCTTCTCCCTTCAGCCTGCACGGGGCGATAGACAGTCATCACTAAGGAGTGAACGAATCTGATGGGGACACCTCATGTAAAGGGAGACCCTGATGGGACACCTGATCTAAAGGGGGACTCTGATTGGAACATCTGATGTAAAGTGGGACACCTGATGTAAAGGGGGACACTTGATGGGGACACCTGATGTAAAGGGAGACACTTGATGTGGACACCTGATGTAAAGGGGGACCCTGATGGGGACACCTAATGTAAAGGGGGGGCTCTGATGGGGACACCTGATATAAAGTGGGACACCTGATATAAATGGGGACCCTGATGGGAACACCTGATGTAAAGGGGTACACCTGATGGGGACACCTGATGTAAAGGGGGACTCTGATGGGGTCACCTGATGTGAAGGGGGACTTTGATGGGGGCACCTGATGTAAAGGGGGACACTGATAGGATAACTGCTCTAAAGGGGGATTCTGATGGGAACACCATATTTGTAGTTTTTTATAGCTGGTGGTATTCGGCATTGATGTATAATGTATTTATGGGTTTTGTACTCCTCTATTGCTGGTGGTATTCTGCACTGCTATATTATGTATTGCTGGGATTTGTAGTCCTCTATAGCTGTTGCTATTCTGCATTGCTGTTTAATGTGTTGCTGGGATTCTGCATTGCTGCATAATGTATTGCTGGGATATGTAGTCCTCTTCTGCATAAAACATTTAACAGTGTAATTTCATGAGATAATTTACAAGGGCGTATTTAGTGGGTGAATTATAAATGTGGCAGGGTAGGGGCAGGGGCGAACTGACCATTTGGAAACTCGGCACTGCCCGAGGGCCCGGGGTCGGTAGGGGGCCCCATGAGATGCCCCTGGTACCTTTTTCATAGGCTTTTTTGTGTTTGGGCAAGGACACAGGGGCCCCATGATCCCCTATTGCCCGGGGGCCCCATGAGTTGTCAGTCCACCCCTGGGTAGGGGTTTGGTGGGCAAACTGGAGGCAAGTAACTCTTAAAGTCTGGCTAGTAGCTCAGGACTTGTAATTTTGAGCTCTGTTATAGCCCATCTATTAAAAAAACATAAACAAATGTTTAAATAATATGTTATTATAGCAACAACTTGAGTATAGAATTATCATATTTTGATGCATTTAGAAACACAGAGTCTTCATTGAGAAAACAGAAAACGTACAGAAGTATCCAAGGATTCACTGAACATTGATGATAAACACACATAACACTAGGGGAAAACCCATCCACTACAATGCAGCAGGTCTAGGGACATCTTCCTTGACAGCATCACAGGCGCCACTCTTTGCAGATATTGAAGTTGTTCAACCATAAAAAGGTTGCAGGCAGGGTGGGGTAAGATATGGAAGCCCAGAGTTGTGCAGCACATTGCAAGGATTAATGCCCATAGATTATAATGCTGACTCTATAAGATACCAAAGAATCATCAGAGGGTGGGAATCATCATATCTCACCAAGAGACATGTAGTGTAAATATATTTTAGCCACATGCACCAAAAAAAATCTCAACAGGGTAATTATTTAAAAAAGTAAAGGTTTGCTGAATATAAACCTGGAACTAAAAAGAGCACGCACTGGGGTTGAACCCATTTAAAGTATTAACCTCCCTAGCGGTATTCCCGAGTGTAGCTCGGGGTAGAGTTTCAGTACCAAAAGCGGTAACCCCGAGCTACACTCGGGCTTACCATGCAGTGTTGCATAGGGAGTCCCTGCAGTGCTTACCTTGTCCTTTCCTTCCCTCAATGCTTCCCTTGCAGTGTCCCTCTCCTCTGGCCGATGCCGGCATCCAGCTTCCGTGTTCCGGTCCCTGTGATGTCGGGACGTACAGGTGCCGGAACTGGCGGCAAATTTGAAATTTTTTAAAAATGTCATTTTTTTTAAAAATGATTATTACATAGTAAAACATTGCTGTTTCAAAATATTTCACATACATTTTGTCCCTACTGCTTTGTCCTGTCCCCTGCCTGCATTTTGACTGTTCTTTCTGCCTGGAAACTTAGAAAAGTCCATGGCGTCCAAAAAGCGTCCCTTTAGGTCAAAATCGGTTTTAGACCGGCTAGAGAACAGTGATAGTAAATCAGAATCACTTGCAGAATTGAGCGATAATGATTCGTGGGGAAATTCGTCATCAGACACTGAAAACGATTTTGCGACTTTGCTCAGTGATGTGCGAACTTGGCGCTATATTTCAAATTTCAGTGTTTTTGGTTTGATTATATTATTGAATTAAATTTATTATTATTATATTATTATTTTTTATGATTATTTATTAAATTATAATTTATGATTTTGTGTTTCAAGTTTTATCATATCTGGAATGTTTACTAGACTCTTGTTCGGACAGATTTCAGTGAGTTATTCCTAAATTACAGGCCTACAATATAAAAAAAAATACATATTTCCATGCAAAAAATGGTACCGCTTTCAGCACCAAAAATCTGAAATAATCATACCGCTAGGGAGGCTAATTGAGGTCTTATGTACAGAGTTTTATGATTGCTATAAAATGAGATAAAAACAAACTGTGATACAGATATTATTCATACAATTAAAATCACACATGCTATCTTATTGAGAGCATACGATTATAGCAACACCAGTGTTGAAATAGAATATGTGTTATCTGTAAATCATTGTGTGCATTAAGCTATTTTTTTAGACTGTTCGACAACTATCCAGTTGAAATATCTAGAATATATCTGTATTTTGTACACGCAAGTATCAGAGGTAGCATAAGGAGGCGATGCCACCTCCGATTCCTGCGTGCGACACTTATGTGGTGTCACCAGGTCCCTACACTCACCATTTATTGGGTCCGGGTTCTGAGTCATCCATCCTTGCCCAGGATCATCCACTGCAGACACCATCTACTTGGACCGGTGAGTTACAGTATGTAGTCTGTCTTTGCATCTTACTGAACTGGAGCCCTTTAATGTCTACTGTTTGTTACCCATTGTTTGGAGTAAACTGTGATGTTGATGTTTACACCTCCACTTTTTTCAACTATTGGCGCTTTATAAATACTGTATAATAATAATAATAATACCCATTTTGGGTGTTGTGGAGCAGCTTTCATTGGAGATTTTTTATTTCACATCCATTTAGAACTTTTCTGTGAGCTTGGACTCTTGAGTTGTTAAGAAAATCTTGATCACTGAAGTCTGACCAACAGAAACCCAGAAAGAATTCTGACCAAGATTATTATGGATGCAGGCTAGCCATCTTTTCCTAAAACGATGTGTGCCTGCCAGCTGCAAAAATGTGGATATGCTGGAGGGTTGAATTGCCCCTTTTTTCTTTGGTTTGCTGTAAGCAATTATATATATTTTTTTACTCCTAGTCTCACCCTGAGTTTTTTGAGAATGTGTTGTAATTTTTGGCTCCTTAGGTAAAATACCTTCTGTTTATGTCTGGAATTACTGTACATAGTGACAGTCATTGAAATGTGTAATAAATTAGGGACCTTTTGGTGTTTTATCTTAAATAAACTTTGCTGATTAATCTTTCTTGCTGATTGTTACTATATACACTGCTCAAAAAAAAAAAGAAAGCAACACTTTTTAATCAGAGTATAGCATCAAGTCAATTAAACTCCTGAGATATTGATCTGGTCAGTTAAGTAGCAGAGGGGGTTGTTAATCAGTTTCAGCTACTTTGGTGTTAATGAAATTAACAACAGGTGCACTAGATGGGCAACAATGAGACGACCCCAAAACAAGAATGGTTTTATAGGTGGAGGCCACTGACATTTTTTCCCCTACTTATCTTTTCTGTTTCTCACTAGTCTTGAATTTGACTAGGGTAAGTGTCACTACTGGTAGCATGAGGTGATACCTGTAGCCTACAGAGGTTGCACAGGCAGTCCAGCTCCTCCAGGATGGCACATCAATACATGCTGTTTGCTGTGTCTCCCAGCACAGTCTGAAGAACATGAAAGAGATTCCAGGAGACAGGCAATTACTCTAGGAGAGCTGGACAGGGCAGTGGAAAGTCCTTAAGCCATCTGGAGGTATCTGCTCCTTTGTGCAAGGAAGAACAGGATGAACACTTCCAGAGCCCTACAAAATTACCTCCAGCAGGTCACTGGTGTGAATTTCTCTGACCAAACAATCAGAAACAGACTTCATGAGGGTGGCCTGAGGGCCCAACATCCTCTTATGGACCTTGTTCTCACTGCACTATAGAGCTCGATTGGCATTTGCCATTGAACACCAGAATTGGCAGGTCCACCACTGGCTCCCTGTGCTTTTCACAGATGAGAGCAGGTTCATCCTGAGCACATGTGACAGACATGAAAGGGTCTGGAGAAGCTGTGGAGAACATTATGTTGCCTGTAACATCGTTCAACATGACTGTTTTGGTGGTGGGGTCAGTGATGGACTAGGGAGTCATATCCGTGGAGGGATGCACAGACCTCTACAAGCTAGACAACGGCACCCTGACTGTTATTAGGTATCAGGATGAAATCCTTGGACCCATTGTCAGACCATACACTGGTGCAGTGGGTCCTGGGTTCCTACCATTGAATGGCCCCCACACTTGCCTGAACAAAATCCAATAGAACACCTCTGGGATATCATGTTTCGGCCCATCCGACGGCACCAGGTTGCACCTCAAATTGTCCAAGAGCTCAGTGATGCCCTGGTCCAGATCTGGGAGGAAATACCCCAGGACACCATCCGTCGTTTCATTAGTAGCATGCCCCCACATTGTCAGGCATGCGTACAAGCACGTGGGGGCCATACAAACTACCATTTTGAGTTGCTACAATGAAATTTCAGCAAAAGGGACTAGTCTGCTGCATAATTTTCACTTTGATTTTTTCACTTTGATTTTTCTTTGAATGGTTGTCTTTGAATTCACTCCTCTGTAGGTTGATAGTTTTCATTTCCATCAAATGATGTGCCATCCTTACGTTCCTAACACATTATCCAGTCCATATCAGTATAGATAGCAAGCATAATAGTTTTCCCCATTGAGATCTGACGTGTTTTCAAAGTGTTCCTTTAATTTTTTTGAGCAGTGTATAAATTATGGCATTTTTATAGGCTTTATTGATGCTTTCTTGATCATATCCCTTTTCCTTAAATGTACTCTTTCAGATATTAATTTAAATATCATTGCATCCCCCACTTTCATCCCTGAGCTTTGAAAGCAACATGCATCCCCATGATACAACAGTGGAGGATCTCACCAGTCACCTCAGAAATATCACTACAAGATTCTGTTATACTTAGTTTTATTGGCAGAAATATAGAATTACTGATGCATGCAAGTCTAGCCTCCTTACAGACTAGAGGCTGTTTTGCCATCCACCTCTTCCACCAACCCACTCCTACTACTCTGCCACCATTTCCTCACCCACAACCACGTTTTTGATCTTTTTTTTTTTTTGTATAGTACCTTTTTATTTATTTTTCAATATGAATTTACAAATCCACAAAATACAACAAATACACAGAAAGGAAAGAGAGAAACAAAAAGAAAAAATATACAGAAAAAGAAAAAAAAGAATATTTTAAATATGGGAAAAATGCATAAGCTGTTAAACATATACATCCATACAGTCAATCTTCACTTTGAAATTTCCTTATTATGTAGTTGTTGTTAATGAGAAAAAAAAACAAAGAAAAGTGGAATAAATACCTCTATGCATCCAAAAAAATGAGGATACATGAAACGATGTTTGGGTTATAAAAGCCCAATTGTTCATAAATACACTTTCCACCTCGAGTGGGGGCATATAAAGCATGCTTTTTGGCCTATAGCAACAGATATCTCGGAAATGGGGTACAGGCAGGCATTTCTAAAGTACAACAGTCCTATAATGCCTCTCTAATTTACATCTGTGGGAAGTAATGAATCCATGTGGCCCATGTCTTATAAAATGTGTCATATTTCCCTTTAGATTTATGAACCCAACATTCTGCCTCAAAAATCCTATCTACCTCCAGCCTCCAATCAGATGGGGTAGCACATATAGTATATCATATAAGAAAAGAAGTGCCCAGGGAACTTTAATAAATGAAGCTTAACA